ATCTTTATATTGAATTTTTATGCCCTGCTTATATTGGGACACAAATTCCTAGAATAAAAATTCAATATAAAGATGGCTAATGTGTGGCTAATGGCTATGCTGACTACAATTTAGGAATCTATAGTCCCAATATATTCTGATTGCCATTATACCACATATATTAGCTTACAGGATTATAGATTGTGCCCTTACATAGTAGACCTTGACCATACTTGGAGTAAAACTATATTTTGATTATATTTGTGATACAGTGGCCAAAATGAGCCAAAATTAATTGATACTGCCTTTATTATAGTGAAGGAATATTGAATATGATGCTGGTATGATTTAAGCTACTAAATCTATTTATTCCGTCTTTTTTAACTAAAAATGTTAGATGAGAATCTCAGTTGACAGTCAAGATGAGTTTCTGTGAGCACATTTGGGGACCCGCATGGCAAATTTTGAACTTTGCAACTTCGAATATGGGAATAAATAATAAACAGCCCAGATTATAGGATGAAATCAAAATAAAAGGCATGTTCTATGTTTGTGACACTAAAAGAAATGAGAGAAATGTAGCAGGATTGATGAAATACAAGTATAACAGTAGATCTGTAGATTTAATTGTGGATGAAAGGGATAAATGTGTGCCAGTCGGAAAATGGCTTTTCTAGATTGTTAGATAATGCTCTAGCCTCGTGTTATGCTTCAGTGAATGATGATAATGAAAAATAGGATAAATTTTAGGAAAAATAGCATATCATTCTGAATGAATGTGATCTTTGGCAAAAAGTCGCTCCATTAGGTGAGACAAATTGATGGGTATTAATGAGATGAGAGTACAAAAAGAAGATGGGACTGTTCAGTCACTCAAGGTGAATCAGAATGTTACTTAGAATATTTGCTTAGGAGATTTATTTTCAATGCATAGTTTAGACAAAAACAATGGATATGAATCTTAGAAGCATAATTGGTTAATTCTTTATGATGTAAGGCAGAATCAGTGAAGGATGGGGTGATGAAAAAGAAAACGAATTACAGGGAAAGCACAACTCACAAAGTACAAGGCTTGTCTGAGAAAGTATTAGAAAATACATTAATCTCTCAATGGAATGTATGAAAAATGGATGTAAGAAAAGAATGTTTGGAAACTGCTTTGAACAGAGTGAAAAGAATTACGTTACAGAATGCCACAGGTGTATCTGCAGCTACGCTAATGAGAAGCATGAGAAAGGATGCTTATAGTGCAATGATGAAGCGAAATAAACTGTGGATGATACCTATAAGATAATGATTGCTGGAAAAAAATAGGACAAAAGAAACATGTAAATTGTGTAGAATTAAAAAAAAAGCTGCAAAGATTTAAAAAAAAAAGGCCAAGAATATGCAAAGCAGTTTTGAGGGAATAACTTAAAAACATGTTTTGGAACTGGATGAAAAGGAGCAAGCAATAAGCCTCTAGCTGAGTGAATGGAAACAAAAATAATGAAATTATTTAAAATGAAATTGAAGTGGGGGGATGCCAAAAGAGGATTTTCGAGATTTGTAAAAGAATGAGAGTGATTCATCAGAGCTGAATAGAAATAATGCTATAAATGTTAGTGTCCAGATTGGGGGTGGAGGGAATAACTGTATGCTTTGAGACTACTGAAAAATAGTAAGACCACTGGTATTTATGGAGAAATGCTAAAATGATTTTTGATTTCTTTAAAAGCTGTACTCATGACTGAGAGTAAAATGACTTATACAAGGGGAAAGGTAACAAGAGTGAAATGCACATATTATAGAGGCATTGGTTTATTAAACTTGTCTGAGAACATGTTTGACAGAATTTGGGGACATCAGAAGATCCTCTTGCTGGCATTTGTAAGGAATTTGTTAAGTACTTTGAGGGGAAAAATCACTCATTTTTATTCTGACCTGGATATTACATTGCCCAAGTCTTCTATGAGGTGACAGAGGTCTTCTGAGGTTCTTTTGAGCCCTTAGTGCTTAATTTTCCTGAGGAAAATCAACAGGATAATCTATGGGATGAACTCAGCCACTTACTAATTAGATCCTTTCCTTTATGGATGATTTTGTTCAGCCAGAAAGAACGTGATTTTATGTGTTCAGGAGTCAGTAGAGGGATTTTTGGTGGAGGGATCCCTGCCAAATAGTTTTAAGTAGGTAGTACAATGTGCACTTTTTAAAAATATCCATTCCTTGATCTACCCATCTTATAAATTTTACAGTTTCTTGGTAAATTGGTAAATTTACCAATTGGTAATATATTTTTTTCAGATGATGGTTAGACTATGAAATAGAAACTGCATTGGTCACTCCTGCAGTGAGATTTGGAAGGAGATGTTATAAACCTGCACCGGTGTGGGCTGTTCCAAAGCTTGGTTCCTCCCCCATTTTAACATCTACATGAAACTGCAAAACAAAACTTACAGTATTTCATTCTTGACAAAGTGACTGAATTAGTGGACCAGCAAAATGCTGTGGATATAGTATACTTGGATTTCAGTAAGGCATTTGACAAAGCAGACCACAACCTACCCCTTAGTAAGTTAGAAAAATGAGGGATAGATATCATCACCATCAGATGGATCTGTAGCTGGCTGACAAACCACACTCAACAAGTAGTCCTTAATGGAACTACATCTACATGGAGGGAAATAACAGGGGGTACCCCAAGGTTCTGTCTTAGGTTCAGTACTCTTCAATATCTTCATAAATGATTTAGATGAGGGAATAGAAAAGAACTCAGCAAATTTGCAGACGACACCAAGCTGGCAAGAATAGCCAACATCCCAGAAAATAGGCTCAAGATCCAGAAGGATCTGGACAGACCTGAAAACTGGACCCTATCAAACAAAATGAAATTCAATTGGGAGAAAAGTAAGGTTTCTTTAGGAAAGAAAAAACAAATGTACAGGTAGAGAATAAGTGGAATCTGACTCAATAGCAGTAACTGTGAGAGAGATCTTGGAGTCCTATATTTCCTGACAGTGAGAACAATTAACCAGTGGAACAGCTTGCATTCAGAAGCTGGGGGTGATCCATTGCTGGAGGTTTTTAAGAAGAGATTGGACAGCCATTTATCCAGAATGGTTTAGGGCAGGGGTGTCAAACTGCCAGCCCGCAGGCCGGATGCGTCATCCGGAAGCCGCGCCCACCCCATTGCCGGCAATGGCAAAACCATCCTGATACGTTGCGTGACGTCGCAAGTTTGACATGCCTGGTTTAGGGTCTCTTACTTGTGCAGAGGGTTGGACTAGAAGAACTTCAAGATCCCTTCCAACTCTGTTATTGTGCTAGGAGAGATCATCATTCAGTTTGGGGTCAGGTATTGTTATTACAGTGATTATTACAGCTTTAAATTAGTTAGAGATATTGACTTTTAGTTAAAGTCACTAGACAATGCAGTATAAGTCTTGACCAGCACTTAAAGCCTATGAGAGAGCAGATGAGGTGAGATTGACTGTACTCAATTCCAGCAAAGTGGACTCACATAAACTTTCTAGTACCATAGATGTTCCATCTGTTGCTCTAGATGGGATGGAACCTCTGAGGGAACTGGTGTGCCATCTAAAAATTTGCTTGAACTCATGGCTTCTGGTGGAACAACAAATAAAAATGGTCCAACAATTGTACCTAGTTTAATGTCTTCTCCACATCCTAAGGCTTATTAAGAAACATCTCTTTGTGTCCCTTCAGGTTTCCTTATTAAAAGGCAGAGCCAACCATTGGTTTTGAGTGACTTCTCTTTAAGGTGTTTCCTCCCCCTCCCCCTTTCCATCACCTTAGAACAGGGGTCTTCAAACTTGGCCCTTTTATGACTTATGGATGTCAACTCCCAGAATTCCTCAGCCAGGCATGCTGGCTGAGGAATTCTGGGAGTTGACGTCCACAAGTCATTAAAGGGCAAAGTTTGACCTTGCCTTAGAGTTTTAAAATAGACTTTAACCATATTCCGTTGCATTCCATTATTTGAAAGGTAGTATGTTTCTAACACCAGATGAATTAATTTTCAAGTATAATAATACATATTTGTGACTGATAGGGGAGTTATTACCGAAGAAGTTATGGTTCTCTTAAAATAACCCATATTGTCAACATTCTGGAAATGAACCTTTATTTCAGCAATTGACTCATTAACATTTTGTGGCATCGCAGAACAGTCAGTAATAGAAAAGAAATAGCTGATAGGGACTGACTGATCAGTTTATAGTTGATATAGTTTAATATTTCCATATAAATTCATGAATAAACCTACCCACATATATAAACCAATCCTTTCATTTTAACAACAACAACAACAATAACAAAAACATGACAAATGCACCAGCCATGAATAAGCCAACCCATTACATTTTGATATACTTTAATTTTCACATTAGGCTTATCCAACGGTGGGACATTTTCCCTGGTATTTTGATTGGAAATTTGAGGATAGATTTATCCATATTTAGGTTTTTCTATGAGTATTTACAGGTTATATGGGTATTTTAAAAAACTAAGGGAAAAACCTATTGTATATATTCATGGAGAAGACAAACCCACTTTTTCCATTAATTTTGGCATCTAAAACTCTTGGCTTATTCACAAGTAAATATGGTACTGTATATGTAATAAATCTTAAACTTTAAAAAATATTTTTAAGGCTTCTTTACCATTACACATTAGAAAAAAAATATTGCATATTTTTATGAGTTGGCTTATATAAGAGATCCTTCCCTAGCATACGTACATACAAATACCCTCCCACACACACATCCCCATGCACTGGGTGACCATATTCTTAAGTTTTAAAATGTGTGTCTTGTTTTACCTGGCAATGATTTGAGCCAATCAAATCCGCATCAGTATATTATTAACTCACAAATAGAAGAATAAATAGGCTGGAAAGACTTCTGAACTCAGCAATTTTCTTTTCTGCATTAGCATGTTTTCTTATTAGTAAATAATTTGCCATGAAGCCTTCCCAACTGGGTTTAATGTTTGTGTAACACTATAAATGTTTGTTACAGGAGGAGTAACAAACACGGCGCAGTATCAGAACAGGCTAATGGTGTATGATCCAACCCAAGTAAGTTTATCTGCATTATGTTAGTCAGGCTCTGCTTCTCTAATAACTTCTGCACCATAGTTTGTGTGAATGCATGTGAGAGCCCAAATGCCAAAAGACGTACAGCTTTTCCATCTCACGTGCTGACCTCATGTTTCACGTGCTTTAAGGTGGTGGCAGGGGAAAATATGTTATTGTGCAGAATCCCTCTGCAGCCAGGTGCTGTCTGTCCTTGTTTGCTGAAAGAATCATGTTCTTGAGCTTTATTTTTTATAAATTAGTGGTTGTAAATATAAGGTTTCTGCTGAGATTAGCATCCTTTATAGGCCCTGCCCTGCTCGGTTTCTTTTGTTTTTTTGTTTTTACATGGAATTCCTGAGACTGAATCTTATCGCTTAGCTAAAGTCCCCTGGTTAAGAATGAGTTCTGCTCCTAACTTTATCTTTAACACAAAATTGTATGTGAGTCTGAATTTGTACTCAAAACCGGAGTACCTATTACTAAAAAGGGCAAATGTTGTTGTCCTCAGTTGAGCCATCAAACCACTGAAGCCATGCAATGCACTCAGGAAACAGGCTTTATATAAAAATGTGTGGCTTCAGCAGTTCCTGAAATCCTCGTATGGTTTCAGTGGTTTGTCAGGAAGAAGAGGAAGGAGAATGCCACTCACCATTTTTTAAGTAATAGACCAGCTTACCATGTTATCCAGAGAAAAAAAAATACAGGTCCTTCATGTAGGGACCACTGGTGGGACTGTTGGACAGAATTCCAAAACCTCTGCTTTGTCATATTATAGTAAGCATTTCTCCTGCCGAACTGCTGCCCTTTGGCCTCAATTGGACACGTGCAGCCAGAACGCTTACTTTGTATGCAAAGACCTGCTCACGTGGTAAATGTCGCCCCTGCTTTGAATAAAGGCTATCTCTGTTTAAACCTTAAAATGTCAACTGCTCCCCTTTTTTCATGTGTGTATCTCTCTCTCTCTCTTTTTTTTTTTTTTTGGTCTGCCACGCTCTCCCATGGGCTGCCACGTTTTGGCTGCTCCCGAACTCCATCCCCACAGGCTGCGCTAACAATGAAAAGGCAGTGTCTGTGCTAGCATTCCTACAGTTGAGGGTTGCTTCGTGGTTCTACACACACATACGTTTTTTTGTTTTTTTTAAAAAAATAGATTCTGCTGGCAGATTGTCTGCTGGGCACTCGAAGCTCCTCGCATCTGCGTGCGTCTTGCACACAGAATCTCAATAACTCTATCTCGTTGGGTGCTTGTGCCTGTTTCTGCTCAAGGCCTTTGTGGTGTGCTGATAATGTCTACCATCTGCCACCGAGCACATCGCTACCTGCCAACAGGCAGGCTGGGGTGACCTCTGCTTCTTCACTGCTGATTAGTATTCACACGCTGACTTATTAGGAATGACCCCACCAGCCCCCTCCCCTGTTTCTTTGCCTTTGCAGTGCTTGGCGGCTTACCTGGCAGTCACTGCTGTGAAGGAAGCTAAAATATAATCAGGGGATGCAGGCAGGCTTTTGCAAAGCAGATGGTGTCTATAGTCCTGTGTCAAGGGAATGGACTGTAAATGCAAATATTAATTTCTCCCAGTCAGGTGCTGCAGAGTATAATGGATAGCTATACATTTGGAAGGGCTACATAGAACAATTGTTTTCTGACTTCTGCTCTTTGACACTCAACAAACAGCTCAAAATAGTTTCCATGCTGGCCTTAAATATTGCTTCTCATCAAAATGATGCAGTATTTTAGAAATAATAGAAAATTGGTCTTTTTTTGTCCGGGATGGAATGTCATTAAACTTGCGTTTTTCAGTGATTATGTTGCAAACAAAAAGGCTTTTTTTTTGTTTCTTTTCTTTAAAAGAAATGATGCAGTTTTATGCAAGATGTATTTGGATAGCAGGTGTTACGAGTTGCTTCAGCGTACTAGTGAATGGAAAATCAACATACCTAAAATGTTCATTGTGTGTAGGAATTAAAGTTTTCTTTTGTCTGCTTTTGCAGAATAAATGGCTCAGTCGCAGCCCCATGTTGCAGAGGAGAGTCTACCATTCCATGGCTGCAGTTCAAAGGAAACTCTATGTTTTAGGTGGCAATGATCTGGATTACAACAATGACAGAATTCTTGTCCGCCACATAGACTGCTACAGCATAGATGCTGACCAGTGGACCCGGTGTAATTTCAGCATGTTGACAGGCAAGTGTTCTTAGCAGAATGTGTCAAAGCTGTAGGAGAAATCCTATTTTTAATTGGAGATGTATATTACAAAAAAACAACAATAACAACCCGCCCCATCTTTGGCTGACATCAAAATGCGAAGCAAGGCTAGATCTGGTTAATAATTAGAGAGAAAGCAGGAAGTATCAGGGCTATTGGCTAGATTGTGACGCTGAAACAACATATATGATATCTAAGAAGGTGGCAATAACAAAGCATTTCCAGATTGTTTTGAGGAAAATTACAGTCCATGTCCATTAAACCAGGGCTTTTCAACCTTTTCACAGATTGTACCACTTTTAGGACATGACAATATTTGAGTACCACCTTGCTTAGCAAGGTGTCAAAAACGTGATGCCCCCCCCCAAAAAAGGAAAAAAGTACCGGTTTTAATTTCTTCAGTGGCGGTTCCTTTGCTGAATCACTTTCCCTTTGCACTGACGAACGTATGATGAATTTATCCATATTTATTAATATGCACCACTACCTTGGTGGTCAGGTGGCTAGTCGGCCCTTCTTCCTCTTTCCCTCTCTCTCTTTTTCACAGCCTTTACTCCTTCATTGATCCCTTTGCTTGTCTCACAGAAGCCTCTCTTCTCTCTCTCTTTTTCTCATTGCTTGTCTCCAGAAGCCTCTCCTCCCTCTTTCTCCGTCCCCTTCTCTTTCCCCATTGTCTTTTTTTTTTGCTCCCTCTCCCATCAAAACCTCCTCCTTTTATATCCTCTCCTCTCTCCCCCCTCCCCCTCCTTTGCTCTTCTGGGTGTGCCACTCTCTGGGGTTCAGGGAGAGCTCCAGCATTGGTCATCCACTCCCTGGCTGGCCATTGCACATAGCACTGATCAGCTGGAGCTGCACACATCAATCCTGGAGCCTCTGCAGCCCCAGCTGACTCTCTCAACCCAAGGCCTGTCTGTTGCTCCGGGTGATAGCAGAGGCTACCAGAAATGCCGATCAGCTGGAGCTGTGGGTGCCCCAGCAACACCGCAGCTCCAGCTGATTCTCCCTCAGGCCTGTGCGGCGCTGCCACCACTTCAGCGCATCCTCCCTGCTACACTTGTCTACTTGGCATACCACCTGCCAGGTGCCAAAGTACCACCAGTGGTACACATACCACCGGTTGAAAAGCCCTGCATTAAACCATCAGTTGAGCTTGATTTGGAACTTTATTCTTCTTTCTCTAAAAAGAGAGCTCTGTCTTCAGGACCACTGCTGTGTCTTGCACCTTATATAGTATACTTAACATTACAAACATAGTGTCAAGGTTCCGATAGATAGAACCAAATAAATCAGAACTCCGAGGCTAGAAGCTTCCTCAAAGAACATGTTTATTGGATATTGGCATGAACCAAGTGAAACCAAGTCTGAAATTCCCTCCAAAGAATTACACTATTACGAAGTCAAACTTCCCCAATGCAATCATCCACGTTCCCCAATAGAATAGCTTGGCAGGCTTTCTAACAAAATGCCCAACCCTCTAACATAACTGATAGAATGACTTTGGTTCCATGGGAAACTTCCTGACAGTTAGAACAATTAACCAGTGGAACAACCTGCCTCCAGAAGCGGTGAATGCGCCAACACTGGAAGTTTTTAAGAAGAGACTGGACAGCCATTTGTCCAAAATGGTATAGGGTTTCCTGCCTGAGCAGGGGGTTGGACTAGATGACCTCCAAGGTCCCTTCCAACTTTATCATCATCATCATCATCATCATTATTATTATTATTATTATTATTATTATTATTATAATTATTATATAAGATACTCCGCACCCTCTCCCATTCATGTGGCAACCTAGAACGAGCAAGATGGCTGCAGCCAGGTTCATTGTAGAGTTGACACATAGTTGTATGCAAAATTCCAGCCAGAAGAAACTTTTTAAAAAATCAGCTGGCAGGCCAAATGTGTATTGCATTTGCAGAAAAATCTATAGTCCTCTTGTGCATGTTAAGTTAAATAACTGAGTTATTGGAAATGTACTGTCACAGCAATAGGTATGCTGTACAGGAATTGTGCTGTACAGGCATTCTGAAGTTTAATAATGTTAACGAAATTTATGGTTTATTTTTCTCTTATCAGGCCAGAATGAATCTGGAGTGGCTGTACACAATGGCAGAATATATTTAGTTGGTGGCTACTCAATTTGGACAAATGAACCCTCAGCATGTATCCAGGTAACTGTCTTTATGAGAGCTTTCAAATTGTTCTGATGAGGGATGCTTTGACAAGGAATAAGAAAACAAAGCATTTAAGAAAACTATTGGATCCTTTCACTAATTATTTTTATGAAAATGTTTAACTGGGATGCATAATGGTATAGCCACGTATAGTTTTATATTAAGTGTATTTAATCAGAAACTTTAGATCGTCACCCAGGAGCTTTTTGGTGAATTTCTGATAAAAAAAAAGTTGGCACGAATATTACAGCTTCACTGCTTGTTTGAATTTTTAGAATATCACTTAGCTTTAGGTGCTTTTCATATTCAATATTCTTGTTTAGATAGTGTACAATATTCATTTTAATTATGTAGCCCACAGTGGATAAAAAGAGCCATTCTGATATAGTGTTCAACGCACTGGGTTAGAAACTTGTACTTGCCCTGCTTAGGCCCAAAGCCAATTGTCTGTCCTTAGGCCAGTCACTCTCTCTCAGCCCTAGGAAAGAGGCAATGGGCAAACCACTTCTGAAAACCTGGCCAAGAAAACTGTAGAGACTTGTCCAGGCAGAAGCCAAGAGTCAACACTGACTCAGAAGCACCACAACCAAAGGAAACGTGAATGGGACCTCACCTTTGGTATTTCTTATATGACATTTTTGTAGTTTGCTTTGAATAAAATAGCATAGACTTAATCTTAACCACAGGTGGCACAGTGGTTAGAATGCAGTATTGCAGGCTAACTCTGCCCACTGCCAGGAGTTCGATCCTGACTGGCTTGAGGTTGACTCAGCCTTCCAGCCTTCCGAGGTTGGTAAAATGAGGACCCAGATTGCTGGAGGCAACATGTTGACTCCGTAAACCACTTAGAGAGTGCTGTAAAGCACTGTAGAGCGGTATATAAGTCTAAGTCACGCGGTTCTCAACCTATGGGTCGCAACCCCATTTGGGGTCGATCGACCATTTCACAGGGGTCGCCAAGCAAGGCTGTCTGCCATTTTTTTCCCCTTTTCCGGCGGGTGCCTTACCTCCCTTGAGCTGGGCCAGCTGGTGGTCGGCCTGCTCCGTCTCTGCTGCTTGCCAGCTACGCCTCAGCCGGCGCAGGGGGTGGAACCACGCATGCGTGGCGCTCCCGGGTAGGGAAAGTCCTCGACTTACGACCGGTTGGGTAGTCCTCGACTTACGACCGGTTTAGTCCTCGATTTACGACCGGTTTAGTCCTCGACTTACGACCGGTTGGGGGTCGCGGCATTAAAAAGGTTGAGAACCACTGGTCTAAGTGCTATTGCTATTTTTCCTTACACAGGTGCTGGATGTTAGTAAGGAAGGAAAAGAAGAAGTTTTCTATGGGCCTTCCCTTCCTTTCGCTTCAAATGGAATTGCAGCCTGTTTTCTTCCAGCTCCTTATGCCACATGCCCAAACCTGCAGCCTTTGCAAGTGCCTCATCATAAGATGGGCAATGTGTGAGACAAGGAAGCCGGCCACAAAAGAACAAGCTACTTCATTCATCCTGATTGTGTCTTTACATCAACAAAATCGAATGGTTGTGGAATCTAACCTTGTATTAAGTGCAGTAGAAGCCAAAAAGCAACAAAAGGTGGCAGAATTACACCGGTCTCTGGTCTTCAAGTGGCTTTGACCATGTTTGCCTATTAAGAATCTTTCTCCAAGTATTCTGAAAAACATTTTTTGCACTTTAATCCCTTGCTCCCGTTTTTGTCATTTTCACTGCCTTGCAAAAAAGCATACAAAATAAATTTAAAGAATTCTACCTTTCAAAATGTGGGCTAATAAGCTACAAGGAGCTTGGACTGTTGAATTCTTGAAGGGTTTTTCTTGAAGGTTTTGTCCTGGGAATTAGAAATGTTGAAAATATATACTGTTGTGTCAACAACTTACTTGCAAAGGTGCTTGTAACCTACTGGCTATTTCTCATACTTGCCTCACAGATCATACAGGGGCTAAAAACTGAACAGTCATATAGATATAGTTTACCTATAGAAAAGGCAGACACGTGACACTATAAAGAAGCCTCACAAAGCAGGTGTGAATACGATCTGCTACTTTGACCTTGTATGTTATCTTGCATTGTTGTCTCTGGAAACCATAATTTTTTAACATGTTGGAGAAAAAAGTTTAATTTTACCATTTTTAGTTGTAATAGCTAATACCTAAACAACACCCTGATTTTTCAAAATTAAAAGGCTTGTTTAAGAAACAATACTACCAAACTTATCAGAGTAAATTTTAAAGGAGTAAAAAACTTTAGGGGATGTACAAAGATGTTGAATTTAAATTGATGTAAATTTGAGAGGATCTGCTTCAAGTTTGAAAGGAGCTAGATCAACCAATCCTGGAAGCCATTTGAGCACAGAGGCTTTTAGGGTGATTAATAAAAAAAGTTCATTTCAAATTTGGAGGGAAAAAATTGAACTTAAAACAGGGAATTTCAATTTTATTTGAAGTTTCGCATATCACTGTAAAGCTGATTACAGCATGTTCCATCTTTTTTCCAAAAAGATTCAAAATACATCTGATTTGATCTTTTCCAGCTTTTGATGCTATTTTGTGTAGTTACTAGAGATTTGTGATCCAGTTCTTAAGGTTTTCATAACCAAAAATACTTTCCTTACTCAGTTACATATTATTTGGGTTTCTGTTGTTTGATGTATCATTACAGCCAAAAAACAAGCTATGACCAAACAAGTGTACCAAGAAATGCAATGAAAACAAAATGCCCAGTGCTTTCTGACTATGAAGAAATTCAACTTAATTTACAAATTTGCAGCTGGCAATCTTCCGAATTGCTAATCATATGCAACTTTGGTAACCTGTACCTGAAAATGTAGAATTATCATCACCGTTAGATTTTTTTCAAAACCAATAATTTGATATAACACAAAGGGGTATGTAAAATCTCATGCCCATAGGTGCTGTCCATGTCTCAAGAAAACCAAATGTCATAATTAGCAATTAATGATTTAAGCACAAATAAAACACAGGAACTAAGCTTGAAATTGGTGAATTTATGGAGATTGGGGTTGGGAAATGCCATATTACTTCCTCACATTTCTCCATAGTCAGGAACATTGTGAGTGGCCAGACATTAACTCTCCCCTTCCCCAAGTGTCTTTAGCAGATAATTTTTCTTCCACCATTTTGAAGCAGAGCAGCCAGCTTTACATCCAAATGTCTTATCTACCGGTAAATATCTGCTTTTTGACTAGCAACACTCCCCAGGGTATCAAGTGGAAAAATAACTGTCACTACTGGGGTCTTTAAGATACTAGGGAGTGAACCTAAATCTTCAAACAACTGTGACACACATTCTCTTCAAGGAGCAATGATGATTATAAAAGAAGAGAGTAAAACATGGCTGTAATTTCCTCTGCCCCCCCCCCTTTTAAAAAATAATCCTCTCAGTAAGCGTTAGTATGAGCCTGAGCTCATTCTGAAAAATAATACATGCCTCACGATATTTCCAGTTGTTTAGGCATTATAATTTCATATTACTGCATTGTGAATTTTTAATTCATTCAAGAGTCACTTAGGTGAGAGGGGAGGTATAGAAATGCGATGAATAAAATGAATGCCTGAATCTTGAAAAAAAAAATAGGAAACTGCCATTTTACACTTGTTTTAATATTATGCAGGGTATCTACAGTAATGTTTTTATCATTAATAACTTCATGCCCAATTTCTTATATACTTTGAAATTTATTTGAAAGAGATACCACATTGATAATTAATTGTATACCCACTGCAAATTTGTAACCTGCATGCTTGAATATGCTGAGGTATAAAACAAATCAATATATGAAGAATTTCAAACAAATGTGCCTCCATTCAACACCACTGGCATACATGCATAGTCTACAATAAAAAATAACATTTTTCACTATTTACTGTATTTCTTTTGTTTATATTCATATTCATAAACTATAATTTCCCGTTAACTACTTGAGTTTGTAACAGAGCAGTGGAGCACATAGAGGTGCTATTTCTCTATGCAGTAAACCAACTTAGGAAATCACAGCTGTTTGCATATATATGCAGTTTTCAAGTATCTTTATTGACATTAACAAAATTGACATCTTTATTGACAATTATTGTTTTAGATTTCAAACTCGGACTCCTAAAGACAGACCCACATTAATGACATTGCCAGGGGCTCCACCAACACCATACTCAGATGAAAACCTGGTCTTCAGAAATGTATGGAATGTTTGAAGGATGGGAACCCTATGTATCTCAGTTGTGTGTTGTTCCAAGAATGCCTCTACATAAAAGGCACACTTCCTCTGTCAGGTGGAGATAATGTGAAACACCTATTACAGTTCATCCTGCTGCATTTATACAGATTGTCTTCAAGGGTATCCTCATACTGTATGTAGCATGTTGCAATTGTCCGGGCATTCTGGTCATAGTTGAGGAAGACATATCAGTACAAAGATCTTTCTGGCCATAGCTGCCACTTAACCTTGGAGATGTAGATGGCAGTCCAAGAGGGGACCCTCTTGACATGCAACTTCACCCAAGAGCAAAAATAAAAATGCCCAGACGTTGGGATAATGGTTCTTTCCAGACAGCTTAGATTAGTTCTACAAACTACCTGAGCATTGGTCTTGCAAAGACTTATGGGATCTGGAGCCTGAAACATCTGGATTACAGCAGGTTCCCAACTTTGGCTTTATTGTACTTAAGAAACTTGGCATCAAGAATCTAGCACTTTGATCAGTTGGTTAATAAATACAGTATAGTTTTGAGTGGCCTCCATGCAGCTTGTAGGTATTAGAATCTAACAATCTCTCAAATATATAGCCATATTCAATTTCCTTGTACAAGACAACTGTAATACTCCTGTAAGACAATTCTTAGACTTTTGCACTTGTAATTTTAACAGTATCAAGACTTGGTCAAATATACTACTGTACAGTAATGATTAAAACTTCAATATCATATCAAGGAAAAGCCAATTGAAAATGGGAGTTATAAAGTTACATCTACTATTAGTAATAATATTCAGCTCTAAGCAAAGCCTAAATATGACACTTTTTCTGTCAAAGAATGACTTGAAAATCCTTGAGAAAGTATTTCTGAATTTCTGGCTCTTTAACAAAACATCTGTCTTCTGCTAAGATTTGCAAGGCTATTATGGGAATCCTTGGATTCTCAATATGCTTGCTTTTTTTATGGAACAGGAAAGAAAGTGGCTTGCAGTGCTACTATCCCCAAAATAAAGTGTAGTGCAATTCAACTAAAATTAATGATAGCTTTTATCCAAGTTAATATCAATAAACCAACTACACATATCAATTAGCTATGAAAAAAGAATAGTCTGGGAGAAAACTGATAGTTTTCCAGTGCAGCTTAACAAAACACAACAAAGACGTAATGCATTTTTATTGAAGTCTGTAATCTCACAGTCTGTGGAATTGTACCTACAATTCTGTGCAAGGCACACGAGGAAAGTAAAACTCCATTATCAAACACTGTCAAATGCCCTTGGTACAGAGATCTGATGAGCACATGGAATGCCTGAAGCTGTTTGCTTCCTAACCATTTTCATGCCTGTCACAGTTAATTTTGGCATATCTATCTTTCTTTAGACACCCGTTTATTTAGCTAAGAAATTATTAATAAAAATATGAGTACAGCATACACATCTGTTTTCTTGCTGAACTGTTCCATTTAGGCGAGCATGTTGTACCTAGAATAACCTGTTAGGGGAGGAAAACTTCATAAACACCATTTAGATTTTTTTTTAAATGCTTCATTCCGTGATGAAGGTACATCTTTCACCCCCTGGCTCTCAGAAGCTTTTGTAATAAGGCAAAAATGCCTCATCACTTATGTGAAATAAAACTCTCAAGTAATTTAAGACACATCTTCATCTTTCCAACAATAAAAAAAATACAGAACTTGACAAAATGGACTTGCCTATATAATTGTAAATGATGGCAATTAGTATGAATTTTCAACAATTTATGCAATATCATAGAAAATCGTTTGATGGTTAAGAAACTGAGCTATTTATGTGCGTATGGGATGTTTTCTTCTGCATTGCTAAAATGAAAGTGGATCATATTGGTGGCCAGATTCTTTCAATTTGCAGGGGAATTAGAAGTACATTGAAATAGACAGCCTTAACAAAAAGCATACAAAATGCTAAGGACAGAAAAAGACACGTTCTATCATTTAAATGCACGCTGTAATACATAAAATACAAATGAAGCGCCATAATGGTAATACATAAAATCCAAATGAGAAATGAAAACTTTTAATGGACTGAATCCTCGAAACCTTCGCAGCAACAATTCTAAAACTTGCTTTCTACCTGCTTCCTGACTACTGAAAGTGAAAATGGCATTTCCAGGGGGAGGTTTCTACCAAATAGGTAGAAGTATTTACCTTTGCAGAAAAATCTGAGATTGCCATACAATAAGTTTAGGAAGTACACATTTCGCTAGTAATAAGCCCATTTTAAAGCACCTTATTTATTTTTATCCTGCCTTTATAATGTATAAATAATTGAAGACAGTGAGCGTACCCAATACTCCTTTGTCTCTCTATTTTCCCCACAACTCTGTGAGGTGGTTGAGCTGAGAATGACTGGCCCAAAGTCACCCAGTTGGCTTTCATGCCTAAGGCGAGACTAGAATTCAGTCTCCCGGTTTTTAGCCTTAACCATTAGACCAAACTGCCTGTCTATATGTATACATTGAATAGGACTTAAGGTCAGGCTTGCATCTGTTGCATAATTTGTCTGAGCCCAAAATTCATTTTGGGACTAGCTAGAACAGTGGTGGCAAACCTATGGCACGCGTGCCAGAGGCGGCACTCAGAGCCCTCTCTGTGGGCACCCGCACCGTCGCCCCAGCCCTGCCTCCCCCCACAGCCCCCTCACCAGCAGCCCTCCCGGAGATTTGCCCCCAAGCACGGCCTGCACAGAGCAACGCAGCCAAGGATATGGCGGCCGGGCAGCGGGGACAAGACTCTGCCCTCGTGCCCCATCACATACAGACGATGCTGTGGGGTGCGGACTGAGGGCGTGGCTGCCATGGAGCTGCTGGGCTGCCTGGGCGATCTGTGGCGGGCCATGGAGATGGTGGGTGGCTGGGTGGGCGGGGGCAGGGGTGGAGTGGGGGTGGGCAGGGGTGGGGCCAGTTTTTGGGCACTCGGTCTCTAAAAGATTCACCATCATTGAGCTAGAATATATTAATCTTAAGCTGTTTCTCTAAAACCCAGTCTTAATCACCTACATTTTCACATTCTACCTAAATATAAAAAGAAAGAGCAAGGGTGATCATTCTGTATAACTTAAGAGTGTGGGCAAAGACTTCATGGTTGTAAAGGAAGCAGGATAAAGAAAATGAAACATTCATGTCCTTCTTGAACCTTTTAGATGACTCCTTTCTAACTGCACATTGTCCTCTGCTCAGGACTTCTTGACCATGATTTACCACCAATGCATATATCACCTTACATGAACAATAACAAAACATTATGATAAAAAGATTTACTATAGTTTACAATCTAATAAGCCTCTGAATGGTCACACTGAATTCAATAATTAAACCTTCACTCAATAAGCAGAACTTAAATCAGAATTAAGACACTTCTACCGAAAGCTAAATTCATCTCTTTGGAAATAAGTGAATTAATATTGTGGCTCAAAACTTTATAAAGGAATTTGTCATAAAAGCAGTTATTTAAAACAGAATCATAAAATAAACATAAAACACTTGGGACTTTTTATGTACCCAATTAAATTTTAACATTTTATCTATTTCCGTATATTATTGCCATTTATATTTTGCCATGTCATGTGAACCACGCAATTGTTCAAATTTTCTCCATTACTTCTCAAGATAATCAGCCCACACAGATTTATAAAGCTTCTCTGCAATAGTTAGATGTATCTGTTCCCTGAATCCACAGGCAAATAATCACTTCAGTGATTGTATAATACTATGTTAAAAAGATGTGTTAATAAATCTTTCAACTGACTACTCATTCAAGAGTAATTTTTCACGAATTGAAACTCATAAATATCTTTAAATATCTCAGCTAAGTATTAATTATACTTCAAATAAAAGACTGGTTAAACAAGCTGTTATAATGTAACTTCTATTTTCCTACAAATCAAAGGCTTCACATTCAAAAACCTAATGCAAAAGGCATATTTCTGTTTTGCGTCTCTACTAAATGGTAAATGGTAAAGACTCAGATTTTGAAAGCCTCTCACCTGAAGAGGGTTTTTAAGAAAGCCTTTTAGAAATGAAGGACTTTTGAACTGAATTAAACTCCTCCAAGGTGTAGCTGCTTACAAGAGACTACAATATAAATTCAGTAAATCTCTTTCATAAATGAAAAGAACATTTTGGCTCCACACTATTAAGTAGCCTAAAAGAAGCTTTTAGTTACTGTGGTTCCTGGTGTAATAATAGTTGAGTTAGGGAAGAGACAATCTGCTATCTTTACACAATAAAACCATAACAATAGAAAAATGATCTCAGCAAGACTAGGGAGACGTTTTTGTGACAATAATTGATGGACACAAAAGAGAGTCTCTGGTTATTAACTGAAAAGTTTCATTTCACCAGTTTTGCCGCTAAGTCAATATAGCAGCCTATAACAAATGAAGGGTCTACTTGCCAGATATGGCAATTGCATAATTTATTGAGTGAGCATCCATACAGCAATACGGTGACCTGGTGAGCAGTTTTTTATTATTGAATCAGTTCTTGGTATTCAAGAATAGGAACACAGCTCAAAGTAGTGTAAGGATAACGCAGAACAGGTTAGAGGTTGACTTCTGCCATACACATTTACAGATTTTAAAACAGGGGCAATGCTAGGACGGCTCTTACAATTCCGCGCAATGCATACACAAGATCTTCTGTTAACATAAGGTGCTCAAATTTCTTCACCTCATCCTGGCCTTGCTCATGTGAAGTGTTGGCATGCAGAACATTCAGGATGTCAAACTGAAAGACGTGACAGCAAAAGAATGCTGACTTACTGGACCAGGAAAAAATGGTACTGTTGAAGATTATTTTTCCAGCTTCTTTTTAGTATTCTTTTAAAGAAAGAGAATCCCAGCCAATATAACAAATTTATATTCTTGGCATTGCCTTCTAATAGTTCTGACAGGTTGTAATGGCATGCAATGTTCATGTCAAACAAAAAACATTCAGAATACTTTTCATACTTTGCTCGAAGCATTAAAATATTAAATCAAACCTGCCTATGTATTTTAAAAATGTGCAGAAACATTATGTACCTATACACAGGAAATGTGTTGTCTGCATAAATAACCAGCATTCTATGGAACATCTCTCTCTCTCTATGTACACACACACACACACACACACACACACACACAAACCCCAATCAATATGCTGCTAATAGGACTCATTTTCCAGTTTCAGTATCTCCATGTGTCCAGCCTCTGTGAGGTGAGATAAAAGTCTTTTGTAGGCTTCTCTGTTAAGGAAAACAAACAAACAAAAGATATAACATTTTAATTAAAACTAATATAGAGCTTAAGAATCAGTCATGTCATTCTTTTGCTATTGCAAGCAAATTGACAGTAATTTTTTCTACAATTTTGTACTGTTTAGTGCAAGTCACAAGATTATTACTACTTAAGATTTTTTTTTTTAGTTACTGAAGCAACAGCTTGAGAGCATGACAACTTTAAGCGTTATTTCAATCAACCTCTTCCCTTACTGTTAATGTCACTACATTAACAGATGTTCTACTTTAAACACCACTATAATTCTCAAGCATTTTGATCTAGAATTAGAGGAGCTGTAGTGCAACATTAGCTTGGCAAAAGCTCTGCTTCAGAAGTCAGACACAGTACTGTGAGCAGCTATGAGAGAATTTCCCTTTTAAAACAAAGAGAGTACAAGTCTCTCTTTCTAGGTTTACATTATCTAATCATCACTGGGAAGAGCGGTCTCCAACCCAAAATAAATCTGGCTGTCTCAGGAATTCTGGGAGTTGAAGTCCACAAGTCATAAAAGGGCCAAGTTTGAAGACCCCTGATATACAGTAGTAACCAAAATTGTGGAAACCTTTTGAGAAAAGTGTATTTTTGAGGTTTGATGGCTAATAACACCACTTTTTTGGGGGAGTAGTACCATAAAATTATATATCAATGGAAAGATAACTTAATCAAGAATGTAATGCAACAAAGTATGTTCAATTATCTGTACTGTATTCTATGAAAAGTTACAGCCAAATAACCAGAAAAAGGAAGCACAATTTGCTTAGGTTGATATCAGGTAGCTTTCCTTCATCTGATTGTAGCCAATGAGCACGAGTGTTTAGAGAGCCAATCAGGTGTCATCTTGTTTTGGCAATGAGCCAATCAAATCACAGTAGGATTCAGTTATTGATGTCCTGTATTGAAGCTGAGAGGAGGACATTTGTCAGCGTGTTATGTGATCGCTATCAAGTTGGTTGGGTTTTTTTGTGTTCTTTCATTTAGTGAGCTTGTAAAACGTAATAAAATTAAAGTAATGGTGCAAAGAGTTGACTGGTTGCCCAGAAAGCGATGTAAAATAGTATTATTACGTGAACAAGGCTACAGTTATAAAGAAATTAGAAATTATATTCAGAGAAAGTATGAATTGAAAAATTACTATGTAGCTTTTGATTAACAAAAGATTTTTTTTAAAAAAATTTTTTGTATGTATCTTAATGTTATTTTAGAGTCATAGCAAGTTTATACTAGTGTGTAGTAATATGGAGTAATTGTGAATAGATTTTGATTATTTTGTGTTTATTTCCTAGATTAGCTTTGGGAAGTCTTGGGGGGGGAGGGGGAAAAAGGGTAGGTTTGTATTATAGATTTATATGTAGGATATTTTTAAGGAGGTGTCCGGTGATACCCCAACTGCATAGGACGGGATGGTTGAGTGTGGAAGGGAACTAGGAAAGAGGGAGGAAGGAGGAGTGGTGGTAGAATGAGAGGAGGAAGGAGTGGTAAGTGGAAGAGGGTGGTGCGGGAGGGGTACACCGGACACGTCTGTGAATGTTTTGTTTAGCTTTATTCTCTTTGGTTGATATTGTGATAAAAGATTTATGTTTGTGTTTTTTAAATGAAAAATAATAAAAAATTTAAATATATATATATAAAAAAAAAGAAATTAGAAGAAAAATTGGTGGAAACTTAACTACAGGTGGCATTTCTACTGTACACTTTTCCCAAAAGGTTCCCACAATTTTGGCCACTACTGTATACGAAAGAAATAAATGGAAAGAACTGTGGACCTGAAAGAAATATGCACCATTCTTCAAACACAGCTTTTGTAAAGGACGAAACTTACCTTTGCAAGGTGTTTCTGCCAAGGCCTTGTTTATACTCTGAATTCCTCAAGGCCTCGGTCATAGCCGGAATCAGATGGATCACCAGAGACTGGTCCAGAACAGCTACTGTTTCCAAGATGCTATAAACCTGATTATCATACACAGTAGTGTAATCTTGAATAAACTGCCTGTAGGCGGAAAGAAGGGCATTTATCGCAAAGATGCCTTTTTTGCTTTCAGAAAACAGGCTCAGACCAAGGAACGCTTGCTTTTATTTGAAAAACAGTCTAGGGAGTAACTACATGGATCCTATCTGGAGATAGAAGGAAAGTAACAAATGCACACAGCTGTGAGTATGTACACATGGTCATACACATACATACATACAAATATGTAATTTAGAATTATAATATAAATATGTATATATAATTTAGAATATATAAAATGTGTATATTACACACATAATTGAAAGCATGTCCAGAAATTCAACAATACACGAAATCATAATGTGCCCTAATCACAATTTAGAACAGGAATGGAAAAATCCCTTCGTTATCCAATTCTGAGGCCATTATCAAAAATCCAGCTTGTATCCTCAAGAGCCATCCCAATGACGGACTAAATCCTGTTCAGAGTTGTGCAAACATGCCCTTCTTAATCCTTAGGACCGTTGTTTCCAAAAGTAACGCTAAGCACTTCAGTACCAATTGTTATTAAAGCTCTGTGTCAAGTTTAAAATGGAATTCCCAATCCAAAACACTGCATTCTTATTTTAATAGCCATTTTGTCAGCCCGCCTTCAATTATTTAGCAAATCTAAATTAAAGCTCTCTGTATTCTTTAAGTGTATTCTATATGAATCATGAAAAGAAGCAGTAGCCTTTTTATCTGTTCACTTGATTGTATGCACTTTTTTTTTTTTTTTTTTTGCCTATGAGTCAGGATTGATCCCAGGCATTGATTGATGG